CGATGGATAATCATCAAACTTGACATGTGGTTGTGAGCTTCATATCATTGGCTGTGGCTGGAAATAAAGAAAGAGGAATAAAATCATAAGGTTAACTCGTCCACTTGAAACACTATTCAAATCATATGTATCAGATAACAGGCGTAGTTTGTCAACAGACCTGTTCCCGAACTGGAAATATGGTTGTGAGCTTTTACATTATTGGTTGCGGCTGGAAAAAAGATAGAGCAAAAAACTATAGGTAACTAGTTGACGCTATTATTTTGCTGCAACTGGGAGAAAAGAAATGGTAATACCAAGTCCAACAAATAATTATGGAAACTTGCCCGAAGCCAAGGCAAAAGTCGTTTTTTTCCGAGTCTGAGTCTCAAAAAGGTCGAGCTAAGCAATTTCATCCCAAAATTATACGCTTGCTTCCTAGATGGAAATGGAGAGCCCACGCCCGCGCCCAAATATGGTGGTTCTTCTAAAGGTGGCTGGTTCAGATTCCGGTATGACAAAAATCAAGAAACTCCGACTGACACAAGAAATGTGCTGCTCATTGTAGCAGCATTAATAGCAGCTGTGACCTTTCAAGCTGGGGGTGAATCCACCAGGAGGCGTTTGGCAAGATGATGCAGGTGGGCATAGGGCAGGGAGGGCTATATATGCAGATCAGAAACAAGCATTTTACGTTTTCTTGATAGCAAATACCTTTGCACTTTCCACAGCAATTCCCTTTCCATCTTGAGCTATGGTTTGCCACTCTGTCAATGTTTGCTACTTATGCCTCGGCAATTTTTGCAATTGCTCCCGATGAATCTGTCAGGTTTCGTTATGTGTTATCCGCTGCGGCTGTGCCTTTTGGGATTCAAGCGCTGAAGAAGCTTTATAAGCGTTGTTTGTCATCAAGCTAGACCTGGGAACACATTAGATGAACATTTGTGTGCGTCTGTGGGGGCATGAAATCTTTTCCAGTCCTTTTGGGATTGTTTTGTTGAGTATACAAAAATGTGCTGATTGTTTGGAACCTTTTATACCTGAAAGAGGTTAAATGTCTTGTTAACTTTGCAAATGTTGCTTTGATTCATTGTTTAAAAGAAATGTGAACTTGCAATGCAATCTGTTGGGATTTTCAACTCCTTGTCATTTTACTGATGCTTTGCAATCACCTCATTAAAAAAGTTTATGTGCACATATCAGTTGAATTGATTTAATAAATTTATAGGTCTCTTTATCAAAACGAAAAAAAAAAGAAAAATTCTACTGCATTCTCATTAGTTAACGAATTAGAAAAAGGCCAATTGAAATCTGCATTCTCATTAGTACATGTGATCTGAGTCTTATATGTTCTTTTTGACCAATTTTGACCGTTAACTGCTCAGGAACGATTGATCTAGAGCTTTCCTTAGCGTGGAAGCGTGGTCTAGAGCCTTTAGATGATTTTTTTTTTTTTTCGACACAAGGGTATTCGGATCAATCCTTACGGGGCCCGACTAATCCCCTGCGGTCCGGACCCGGCGCCCTAACCCGACCCGAACACGTTAAGTGCGCGGAGGAATCCAGCGGAGCGGAGACTCGAACTTGGGATCTCAAGAGTCATCGGTGAGAGGCGCTACCGTTGGACCATTCACGCGGGGGCCTTTAGATGATTGGTGGTGTCAAATAGTGGACTTACACAAACTTAGTCTCATATTCCTGGTTTGTTTCACTATCGTAGTCCAAGATTCGCATCGTATAAATAATCACCGTGCTGATTAGATACACTTCTAGTTGAAGTAGTCATTCAATTTATTGTGCAATTAAATTAATAACCCAACAGAAGTAACGTAGTAACATGAAATGTAAGCAGAAGAATGAACTTCAACTCAAAAGTTGACTTCGTGAACCGGCAAAGTCTCGTTGATTTTGATAAACAAGTTCAGCTTCAAAATGGATTCCACAAGCTTGTTTTACAACGATTGAATCAAATAATATGTATCAAATAATGTGGTTGGTTAAATGGACTTGCCCCGATCGATAATCATCCAACTTGACATATGGTTATGAGCTTCATATCATTGGCTGTGGCTGGAAAGGGATGGCAATCCCGGGGGGAGGGGGGTTGGGGCGGGAACCTCTCCGGCTGCCTACAACTTCCCCCTGCCCCTACGGCCCTACCCTGCCCCGTCCCACCTCTCCCACGGGTATTCCCGCGGGACTAATAAAAATTTGTTATATAATTTTATTATAGTTAAATTTTAGCAAATAATCAAGTACTAAAATATCAACACATCACCAAATTATTATTCATTGTAATTTCACAGTTGAAACTTATAAAACAATCAAACAAAAGTTATTTGAATACAATTCAACATGATGAAATAAATACAACTAAAGTAGTCAAGTTTTCACTTTTGGCACAAATACAATCACTAATTCATTATTGTGCTTGTACTTTTTTTTAAGAAAAAAATATTATTCTATTAAGTGTAATTAGGAATTTAGTATAAATGTATTAGTAAATTTAGTATAACAATTAATAATTTGTATTAGTATACATATATAATTATTAGTATAATTAATAATATTAATTATATTACATATACTAATATACATTATATAATACATATAACTAATAATATCATTATTATAAGTTTGTAACTTATTAAATTATATATTATATATAATTATATACATATATACATTTTATATATTTATTTTTTTAAAGCAGATGGCGGGGCAGGGGTAAGTAGGGGGAAAAAAATTCCCTCTGCCTTGCCCCACCCCCCCGCCCCATTAGTCCCCCATCCCCCCATCCTTAGCTGGAAATAAAGAAAGAGGAATAAAATATAAGGTTAACTCGTCCACTTGAAACACTGTTCAAATTATACGTATCAAATAACAGGCGTAGTTTGTCAATGGACCTGGTCCCGAGGGATAATGATCCAACTTGAAATATGGTTGTGAGCTTTTACATTATTGGCTGCGGCTGGAAAAAAGATAGAGCAAAAAACTATAGGTAACTAGTTCTAGTTGGCGCTATTATTTTACTGCAACTGGGAGAAAAGAAATGGTTATACCAAGTCCAACATATAATTATGGTAAGGGTTAATCGCACTTTATCCCATTTAAGTATAGGCCGTTTCTCACTTTACCCCCCAACGTTTGTTTTTCCTCAGTTTACCCCTTCCGTCAGCAATTGCACCGTTAAAAACTTTAAGATTTCGAATTTACCGTACGAAAAGGGCCGTTGGTTTTAGCAGACAACAATGCCCCTCAACGGTGTCTGATGCTTTTAGCCTACCTTTTCCCTCAAAGAGCCGTTGGTTGGTTGGTTTTAGTCGTTGGTTGGGTTTTATAAAAGGAGGTATTTTGCACCCAATTTTTCTCATACATTCTCAAAGGTTCCAAAGTTCCTAAAATTTCTCTCCAAAGTTCCTAAAATTTCTCTTTGTCAACCAAAAGCATCATAAAATGTCACAAAGTGCTTCAAATGATGTTGGAAGATCACCCCAAAAAATGTGTAGATGTGGTAAAGAGGCACCATTGTGCACGTCTTGGACACTTGAAAATCCGGGAAGAAGATTTTACGGCTGCTCAAATTACAATGTAAGAATTTTTCATTAATAATTTGTTAATATTGTCTTTAATTTTGCTCTATACCTGAATTAGTTAGAAAGAGTTTAAACAACTAATTATTTTTTTAATTTAGAACCGACACGCATGTGGGCACTTTGAATGGGTAGATCCTGAAGTATGTAGCCAAACAAAAGAAGTAAGTGCAGTGCTGCAATCTAGATTGCTGGAGCAAAAGGAGAAACTAATGTACTTGCAAAGGAAGCATGAAAAATTGGCAAATGAGCATGAGAAATTGAAAAGCAGATATGAAGCCTTAAAAACAGAAGTCTGCGTCTTACAAGTTGAAAACCAACAGCTACAGCAACAATACATGATGGTCAAAGCTGCTCGATTTTCATCATGGAGAAAAACACTAGCCATTACATTTCTGATTGCTAGCATTTTGTATATGTACTCTATTTCAGAACCAAAAAGTAACAAAAATCTGCTTTATCTACCATAGTTGTAAGCAAATATGTATGAAAGAAAATTATATTAAGTTAAAAGTATTTTACACATCAGATTACATCTTAGCATGTGTCTGCATGGCCACCCAAACAAAGGCCATTTTAGTAGAACCTAGCCAAAACATGATTCTAGAACATGTCCAAATAATGGGAAAAGAAAAACAACATCAGCATTTCTAACATTGCTGCAAAGGTAACTTCAAATACTAGTAATGACAAAAATAGCAACAGCAACACCATTTCACATCAAAACACATTCAGGTGTGCGCATAACTGTTGAACGTCCAGTTGCAGCAGTTGAAGATCCTTGGGTAGAAAACATAGCATCTCCAAATCTAATACTCTTGGTTTGAACCTACATGGATGAGGGGCATCTTAGTGCATCAAACTACTACTAGGGGTGGTAGCATGTAAACATAGCCAAAAGACTTGAACTCACCATTCCAGTTTTAGTAGCACCTGAATTGGTTTTAGAACTTCCAGTTTTAGCATCACCCAACTTGGTTCTTGGTCTTTTAGTTGTTACTGAAGTGGTTGCTTTTGAACTTGTACATGGTACGCTGGTGGGAGCAACAACAGTAGTTGAACTCAAATTGGCACCAGATGTAGGTGTTCTTGTCCACTGTATCATCAATAGGAAACAATAAGTGAGCACGTATAAAATGGCCATGCATGCAGAGTTTTAAAATGTAGGCTTACCAGTTGGGTTGGAGGGGGCTGGCCAGTCTTTGAAGTACTTGGAATCTGCATAATAAAGGTAGTTTTTAATCATTGCAAGTGTCTAAAATTAAATTAGTTACATACAAATACAAAAGGAACTCACCATGCTAGACTCAAATGGGATATATGTTTTACTTGTTGATATCCCTTGACCATTCCAAAGTCCAATGCCACATAGTGGCCCATTGTTATGGTCTGAACCCCTACCCTTACCCCTGCCCCTACCTCTACCTCTCATTTTAGCTCTAGTTGGGCCTCTTGCAGTTGTAGATTTAGTCGCATCAGCATTTTGCACAACATCAGCATTAGTATTTCTCTCAACATCAGTATCAGCATTTGTAGAGTGGCCTCTACCAGCTCCTCTCCCTCGTTTAGTAGGCCCTTGCATCTTGCAATACATCAAAAAATGACACTCAGATGTAGATAGAAAAAAGCCAAGCAACATATATCGATTGAAGTTACCTGTGCAGTCACTGATTTTCTTTGCCTCACAAATGAACAACCAGTGACCTTGCAACTTCTGGCATTGTGGTCAGTATGACCACAATGACTGCAGTGAATTGGCAGCCCTACTTTAGATAGTTTTCCAACATGTAAGTCCTCCAATGGAGCCTTTTTTCTAACTTTCTTAGGCCTGCCTGGAGCTATCTTCCTACGAGGTGGGAGTAATGTATCACTGCTAGCATTCACCCAATTTGTTTGGTCTGGCATAGGCATAATAACACCAGCATATGCCTTTACATATGTTTCTACTGAGTAGCAATTATCAACATATGCATATGGATCTTTGTTGTCTTGCACAAGTCCAGCACATGCATGGACACATGGAATTCCTGTCATATCCCACTCATTACATGTGCAAGACCTTTGAACTGCATTAACAGCAAAAGTTCCTACTATACCAGTCACCTCATACACCTCTCTTGTAGACACAAGTGCATCAAACTGAGCTACCTGTTTTTTCCTCTCTTCAATTTTCTGACAGATCCTCGGACAAATATGAGACTTCACCTTCTGAATCCAGTCTCTTTTTTCTTGAAATCTGCACATAATTTGTCTTCGAATGGCCTCAAACATAGTCAAAATAGGCTCTTCCCTAGCATCCTTAATGTATTGATTGAAGCTCTCACATATATTATTACTTAAAAGGTCACATTTTGTCCTTGGAGAAAAGGTGTGTCTGGCCCATAGGTTAGCTGGTATGGAACTAAGCCATGCATGTGCTTCTGGGGCTACTAAATGTAACTCTCTCATTTTGCTTTCATAATGACAGGGTAAATAAGCTCTGGCTGCCCCCCACATTAAATCTCTTAGGTGCTTATCCTTGAATTTCAGTTTGAAATTAGCATACATGTGTCTAACACAGAATCGATGCTCCACTCCAGGATACTTATTCTCAATGCAATCAATTAATCCCTGACATAAAAACATAAATAACACAATTAGTGAAAGGAGTGAGTGAGGAATAAAGGAAAGTAAATCAGATTGTAGTGGTGCTGACCTTTTGTCTATCTGATAGAAACACCCAACCCCTTTCAATTGGAGTGCCAATGGCATCAGTAAGGATGTCCAAAAACCACCCCCAACTATCTTTGCATTCAGATTCAACAAGTGCCATAGCAATTGGGAACATCTGGTTATTAGCATCCCTACCTATTGCAGACATAAGCTGTCCTCCCATGATCCCCTTAAGGTGACATGCATCCAGTCCTATTACAGGCCTACATGCATTTACAAAACCTTCTTTTTGTGCAGTAAACATCACAAACATTCTCTTGAAGATTGGACTTTTACAAATATTGGACTTTTCAGTTACAATAAATGCCACTGAACCTGGATTTCTTTGTAAAAGTGTAGCACAATAGTCTCTTAATCTTGCATACTGCTTTGCACATGACCCTTTCACTGCTTCCTCTGCTTTCTCTCTTGCTCTATACATTTGAGAGTTTGTACAGTTCAGGTTATACTTCCTTTTTATGCTCTTCTTGAACCCTTTTACTTTCATATCCGGATGGTCAGCAATCTCCTCCATAAACATCCTAGACAGCCACCTAGAATTTGCACTCTTGTTCTTGAAAGACCATGGACATCTATGAGGTACGCCTTTAATGGACTTCACTTGAAGTGTAACTTTGCTTCCATTATAGCCACTAGCATATATTCTCCATCCACATTTATTTGAACATATAACCACAGCTTTATCTTTGTCATTCTTAGTGAAGGTAACTTCAAACCCATTCAAAATTGAATACATTCTAACTGCAGCTCTAAAATCATAAATATTGCTAAAAATTCTGCCTACAGTCAATTCAGGATTTTTTAGATCCCTTTCCATGTTAAACTCAGGAAATTCATGCTCCATGCCTTCATCATTTGAATCATAAACTGGTTTAAGTATTTCATCATCACTAACATCTTCATCATCGACCAGTTTTCCATGACCTTTGGAGTTAAGGTATGCATTATATTCTTCACTAATCAGTGCCACATACTTAGCATAATCAGTCTGTTTTAGGTGACAATCTACTTCACCACCATCCCTCTCTACATCATCTATAGGGTCACATGCATCATTTAAATCATCCTCATTTAGGAAAAAATCAAAGTCAGAGTCATATTCAACTTCCCTACAACCATCCCGATCACCTTCCTGTGAAGCATTTGAAGCATCACTTTTGGCCTCATCATTTTGGGGTTGATCAGCATTAGGATTTAGATTTTGTTTACCATTAACTTCAATATTATCCTCTGCAACAGTTCTATCAGCATGCAAATCTTCTTCAGGGATCTCACCAACATAAAGTTGTATGATGTTTTGAGTTCTATTTGCCTCAAACATTTCTATAACAATCTGGTCACTGTTTACCAGTTTAAGACCAACCTTAAAGTCAAGATTCCTAACCCTATAGTACACCTCTGTTTCATGTGATATTCCAGCATCTTTAAAAGCATCTCTTAACTCAAAAATTGACATCAAATCAGGGTCAACATCATCAAAATTAGCAACTTCTCCCCCCACATACTGTAAATTTGGGACATAGGCAAAATGGCCTCCGTAGTGAACCTCTAAAACATAGGTTTTGAAGTCCATTCTTCTGTAATCACACAAAGGTAATTGTTTTTAGTGCATGCACAGGTAATACAGAGCAAGTATCTTTTGTTGTCCCACAAAAATAAAAAATCCTAGTTTGTCTATCTAACAGCCAACATATAACCATCCAAATAAACAAAAAATCCAGCAAATTAATAATTAAAAAAGACAAACCCATCGTTTTCCATCCTAACCCGACAATGACTTGTTATGAACTTTAAGGGACCACACTAACAGATTTCAAACAAATAATTGTCTACATATTAAAGCCCATGCAGTCATTAAAAAAACCCATACCATTGTTTCTGTGCAATAAAATTGATTAACAATTAGAAATTTCTAAAATCGAGAAAAAATTGCAAAATCGAACCTCATAGATCTGCCCAACCTCTCATAATCTCCTTTCACAATCTTCAAATTCAATTCTGCCGTCTGTTAACAACCACATCAATTACCCATTTTTTCATTCAAGATTGCACCAGAATTTTCAATTTTGTTAGTGGACGTTTTGCTAAGGCTTCGGGCACCAGTGAAGAGAAAGTAACCCGACAAAGAAAAAAAGGAAGAGAAAGTGACCCGACATAGTCAAAAGGGGACCTTTGTCTGTTCTGTTCCCTAATTTCTTTTTCTTTTTCTGTCCCATGCCAGATGGAGGGAAATTTCCCTCCATTATTTCAGGGTAATTTTGGAAACTTGCATTTCATAAACCAGCGTATATGGGTATTTTGGGTTGTTCAATGTTTTCATAAGGATATTATTGTCTTTTCAATATTTCGTTTATGTCCATTAGAGTTGACTGTTAGTTTTTGGGGTAGACTGAGGAAAAACAAACGTTGGGGGGTAAAGTGAGAAACGGCCTATACTTAAAGGGGATAAAGTGCGATTAACCCTTATGGTAACTTGCCCGAAGCCAAGTCAAAAGTCGTTTTTTCCGAGTCTGAGCTCTGCTGCCATGTCTTAAAAAGGTCATCGCAGAGAAGCTTCTTCCATCAATGCCCATTCCATTTGTGAAGACTTGACAAACTAGAACCGATCGAGCTAAGCAATTTCATCCCAAAATTATACGCTTGCTTCCTACATGGAAATGGAGAGCCCACGCCCGCGCCCAGATGGTGGTTCTTCTAAAGGTGGCTGGTTCAGATTCCGGTATGACGAAAATCAAGAAACTCCTACTGACACAAGAAATGTGCTGCTCATTGTAGTAGCATTAATAGCAGCTGTGACCTTTCAAGCTGGGGTGAATCCACCAGGAGGCGTTTGGCAAGATGATGCAGGTGGGCATAGGGCAGGGAGGGCTATATATGCAGATCAGAAACAAGCATTTTACGTTTTCTTGATAGCATAGCAAATACCTTTGCACTTTCCACAGCAATACTCGTCATCATATCACTCACTTACAAATTCCCTTTCCATCTGGAGCTATGGTTTGCCACTCTGTCAATGTTTGCTACTTATGCCTCGGCAATTTTTGCAATTGCTCCCGATGAATCTGTCAGGTTTCGTTATGTGTTATCCGCTGCGGCTGTGCCTTTTGGGATTCAAGCGCTGAAGAAGCTTTATAAGCGTTGTTTGTCATCAAGCTAGACCTGGGAACACATTAGATGGACATTTGTGTGCGTCTCTGTGGGGGCATGAAATCTTTTCCAGTCCTTTTGGGATTGTTTTGTTGAGTATACAAAAATGTGCTGATTGTTTGGAACCTTTTATACCTGAAAGAGGTTAAATGTCTTGTTAACTTTGCAAATGTTGCTTTGATTCATTGTTTAAAAGAAATGTAAACTTGCAATGCAATCTGTTGGGATTTTCAACTCCTTGTCATTTTACTGATGCTCTGCAATCACCTCATTAAAAAAGTTTATGTGCACATATCAGTTGAATTGATTTAATAAATTTATAGGTCTCTTTATCAAAACGAAAAAAAAAAAAAATTCTACTGCATTCTCATTAGTTAACGAATTAGAAAAAGGCCAATTGAAATCTGCAAGTTCCAGATTTCAAAAAAAAAAAAAAGGGGGCCTTAAGGTGCAATAACGACATGGCTTGGGCCATGGCAGATAGTTGTGTTCTGCGGTCGATATCGATGATGACTGGACTGGGTAGGCCCTATAGAGTAAATACGAATCGATGGACTACCGAATCATCATGAATGATGGTATTTGCAGAATTGCAGTATGATCCAAGCCGAAGCCTTAAAATGTTTGTTGAGGATCCACACACCATGCCTAATTGAAGCAAGGCTCAAACGCTGCAAATATAGCTGTATATGAAGGTGTAAAAGGCTCTAAGATCAATTGTTAACCTCACGTTACGAATACAAGTTGCCGGTAAAAGGAGAGTTCTTAAATGAACCGAACTATTCGTTAACTCGATCCATTTAAGCTTGCTCGTATTCCGTAATGGCTTGTTCAAAATTTTATATGAGTTGAGTTTGAACAAATATTTTGGCTATACAATTAATCAAAAGAACATGAGTTCGTTCGCGAATTTAAACAATCGTTCGGGAACATGGGCCTAACTATCATTTCTGGTTAATATTGTATTTCTAATTCCTAATTCCATGCTTAATTGTTCGTGAACATGGGTCCAATTGTTCGCGAACAGCTCGTTTGTATTAAACGAGTCGAATTTGAATTAGGATTTTACTTAATGAGTCGAACACAAACACAAATTTGGAGATCAAACAAACGCAAATCTTGTTTGAGTAACTCAATAAATAGAGCTCAAACATGAGATATTCGACTCAATTTGACTCATTTACAGCACTAGGTAAAAGTCTTCTCTATAAATCATCTTGTTGCTGTCCTTGGTTTGATATACTCCTATCTGGCGCTGCCTTTTAACAGGTGGTAAATGAGAGGAGACTGAGTGCTGAGGCTTGAGAAGCAGAGCAATGGGTGAAAGATTTCAGGAGGAAGAATGTCACTAAAAATGTTGAAATGAATTGAATGAGAATTATCATTTTGTTGATAGACCCATTGCATTTTCAAGTAAGTCCCAACTATATCGATAGTCTTTAGATCCAATCCCACATTTTCTATACCCGTCCCACCCTCGTTTAGCTGTGGGCGGTAAGCCCACTTGGACTTGGGAGTTTTTGCCACCACTAGCCAATTTATCGAATATAAGAAATAACGAAAAAGCATAGGAAAAAAACAAACAAAAC